ATTGTTACCTCGAAAAGTTACCGATTCTAAAAAATTTTCTAATCCAAATTAAAATTTTTATTTTAAAAAATTATATAAATCATTCATGTTTCATGACTTCTCTTTAAAATTGAATTTTAATTATTCTTTTATACTAAATTCTCTAGCATCCTAGAATTATATTAAATTTTAATTAATTTAGAATCGAAAGTTATCAAATCTTAGTTAAGATCTTATAAGAGAAAAATTCTCATAATATCTGTCTCTTCATTTGTAATATTCAAATTTGAAATCTTATTTAAATAAAACAAACTCTTTATACTTGAATCAACATGTTGTTGATAAGAATTGAATTTTAATTTAATAAAAAAAATATTATGTAATTTAGATTATATTTAATTGTACAACCATATTCATTGGGCAATGTGAGACTCTCACCCCATCCAATAACACATGTTTTACCGATTAAATTATAAATCAAGACATTCTAATTTAATTTATTTATTGTATTTTATTTTTTATAAAATTGATAAATAATTGAGTTACTTAGCAAATATATATATATATATCATATATGTCTGGTGAAAGAAGAAAAAGAGGAAAAAGAAGAAAAAGAGGAAAATGAGAGCAGCAACTGAGTCGGCAAGGCGTCATTCGGCAGTCCTGCACAGGCATGACAATTTGTGTATTCCTTTGTTAATTCAAGTTGCAAAGGTCAAAACCTTCACTCTCAAAAACTAAATACTACAAATGATTTCAACTTGCAATGAAGCATGTCGTCTTTGCTGGCACTTCTGTAATGAAAATTATTTTAAATTAAATTACATTTTAATTTCTCTTTGATACCTGCTGATCAAAAAAAAAATTTCTCTTTGATACCTACCACTAAAAAAATCTTTTTGATACCAAGCATGAGATTGTAAATCTTAATTATGCAGCCATGAACTTACGTTTTTTATTTTATTAATGGTCCAAGAATCTTAAATATCTCAGATGAAAGTGCCTGACTCCCCCATTTCTGCTAATTTAAAGTCAAAATCACATTTAAAGAGAAATTATTCCACACCACGGAACATTTTCGTTTGCTAACGTAATGACAACATTAACATGTGTGACCTTTATTTACAATTTTTTTTTTTTTTTATCTTGGTAGCATAATGAGAGGCAACCATTTCTCATTCTTTGTTTCATCTCACTCGTTTGTCATGCGATTCGAACTCACCGCTTCTTACTTGTCTTACCTCACTTGTATATCATATGACTCGAATTCATTACTTCTTACTTTTAATGAAATGAGATGACCACTGAATTATTTAAATTGTTGACACATTTACCTACAATTAAAAAGATTCATTTATTAAAATTTACTAATTATTTAATAAAAAATATTATGTAATTTAGATTATATTGAATTGTACAACCATATTCATTAGACGATGTG